AGCATCTGTGGATTCTGGACCAGCTGAGTTCATCACATACAAAACAAGACAGGGAGGGTATACAGGGAGTGCCCTTGGCCCAGCCATTCACGCAGTCCACCATCCTGCTGCACATAGGCCTGGCTTGGGGATGGGCACTGGTGATGGAAAATGGATGTGAATGAATGGGACAAGAGCGAGGGAGGAAGAAGGGTGAGAGCTGTGTCAGTGTTAACTAGAATTTGACCACTGAACTCACGTGCAAATGTCTTATCTTGTGACTGAGTCTCCTGTCTGGAGCATCACAAGTAGCTCATTTCCCATGTTTAGTGTCTTTCCTCTGCCAACCCTTCTGCTGAGTGCCAGCCTTGCTCTATGAAAGACTTTTACCCCTCAGCCAGGCAGTGTGTGTCTGGGATCTCTGGAGAGACAGTGCTCTGACAGATAAGAGGACATTCTGGAAAGTGGTCCTTAGGGAAGCAGAGCTAAGGGACCAAGGATGATGGAGAGGCTCCCAGAGAATGGGAAGATAAGAAATGACTGTGACCAGGAAGTTGACTGTGGGAAGGGACCTGCAGGGTTCCCAGATCTCAGGTCAGGGAGCCAAGAAGCCTGTGTGTTTGTGAGAGGCTTGAGTGTACAGACCTTAGGCTGTGCCGTGGGATTTAGGGCTCAGAACTCTGGAGATAAGCCCATGGTTTGGTCCAGTTGCTGGCAGAGCTGTGCCTCTGTACCTGGCTTGTGCCTTCATTCTTCTCCACCGAGCATATGGGCGATCCGTTCAGAATCAACAGCATTTGCCACTTTGTGAGCCCCTGTCTCTCGGTACCGTCGCATTCTGAGGTCCTAGGAGCTCACCACTGGTAGTGACTCAATTCATTTCTACTGAGGAGGCCTCCTTGTGTGTGGTGGACTAGTTCAGTGTCCGGCTGAGCCCTGAGCCCCAGATATCTCAGGCAAAGATCAAGGGCTCCTTCAGGTCACAGTTAACTAAGGAAGGGTCCCACTTCTCGGTGACTGGAGAGTCTGGTTCAGGGACATTCTTTTGGGGGCAGCATCTCTGTGGTTCCTGCTTCCCAGCTGTGATGGCATTTGAGGGTTTGAGTAAGATCCCTACAAGGGCACACGGAGAATGGTGCCGGTGCTACTGTTTGGTGCGGTGAACCCTATAATCAGCACAGCCTGCTGAGTCACTGGCTCCCTCCTCCCCAAATGGCAAACAGTCCCCCTGTTCCTTGGAAACCAAGGCTGGCTTGCTCTTACCTGCCATCATCCTCTGACCCAGGTGCTAGATTCGCAGCCTGTTTATGTGCCTTGATGAAACCCTGGAAGCCACTGTGTCATCCTCAGGGACAAGGTATTCTAATGCCAGACTGGCTTTGGGAGCATTCTATACCCATCATCTAATGAGGGTCATTGAAAAGCCCAGGAAATCACCCTGTGAGCTGTAGGGACCATGTTGTCCTCCAGCTGTTGGGCATTTAGGCTCTGGAAACCATGTCTAAGCCTCTAGTCACATCCAGTCTTCAAAGTCACACCAGTGCCCAGAGATCATAATGAGTACCAAATGCCAGGGCAGGAATCATGGAATTGAGAGGGACATGGGAGAAAGGTTATGAATATCATCCTACTGCAGGATCACGGGGCAGACTCATAGATGACATATCTCATGGTCAGGGTCAGCCCACTCGCAGGCAGCCCCTGTAGGGGTTATAGGGATTAGCTGACACCGCTCTCTTATGCCAAGGATGTCTAGTGGCATTGCTTCCTTGGTGGTAGAGCGTTAACTGTCTCCTGTTGTAGGCGGAGGCTGCTCATTTTTTTTTCCGGCAGCCCAGACTCAAATAATCACACAGAAACTATATTAATTGTAACATTGCTTGGCCTATTAGCTCAGGCTTCTTATTAACTAACTCTTACATCTTAAATTAAATCATTCCTATTATTGTGTATTTTACCACCAGGTGGAAAGGTTCTGGGCTATCTGTCTCCTTTGGCAGCTATATAGTGTCTCCCTGACTCTGCCTTCTTTTCTCCTCTATCTCTACTTTGAATTCCCACCTTGCTCTATTCTGCACTGCCATAGACCCAAATCAGCTTCTTTATTAACCAGTGGTAATAAAACATATTCAGGGCATACAGGGGGAATCCCACATCACTCTGTGAGTGAGCTGCCTATCAGTCCTGTGGAGTTTTCTTGGTCAAAAATGTTGAACCTAAAGTGACCGTGAGGAAGTATTCCCTTCAGATGGCTGTGCAGACCTCAGATCTCAGGATCAGGATCATAGTGAAAAACAAAGATAGAGGCCTGAGAAGAGCTGTCAGGTGTCCCCAGGATCCAGGTGGATGTCCTGCACTGCTGTCCAAGGGTTTAATCTTGGGCTGGGATCACAGCTTTACAAGTGGGTGATCCTAGGACAGTTGAAGTGTGGAGTTCTGAGATGCCTCACCTCTGAACCTGTGTGTCAGAAGTATCCAAATGAGTTTGGAACGGTTCAGTTTTGTTGGGACAGTAGGTCACAATAATCAATAAAAAGCTCTCAAGCATAATTTCAAGCCAAAGAGACTCTTGGTGTGCCGCTTGATGATAAAATCCTGCAGCAAAGCAGTGGAAATACCCAGCCAGGGAGCAAACGGGAAAGTGTCTGCATAGGAAGGTTGCGAAACATCCACAGAGACGCCAGATCTCTAGGCTGGTCATTGTCTATGGTTGCATTTAGAAGATTAAAAGTCTACCTTAAAAAGTCAGAATTTATAGCATGCCGGATTCTATAAACTTTGCATATTTAAACTTGGGTTTGAAATATAGGTGTCAACTTGAAATTGTCCGAGAACGCAAAACTTTTTAAAACTTGCTTTGTGCTGGGTGTGGTGGTGCATGCCCTAAGTTCCAACACTGGAGGCAAAGGCAGGTGGATCTCTATGAGTTCTAGGCTAACCAGGACTACATAGTGAGACCCTGCCTTAAAATAACAAATACTTGTTTTGAAGGCACCTGGGCCAGCAACACTGTGGTCACTGAGTCCAGACCCTTCCCCACACTTACCTGCTCTGATGGACCAGAATCTTTGCAGCCAAGAACAGAGCAGAACAGGAGCTGACATGAAGGTTGAGTGGCATTCTTGTATACAGCACTGAAGTCAAAAGAGCAGTAAGGAAGCAGTCCTGGGAACGGCGCGTGGTCAGCACTGAGAAAGCAGGCCCTGTGTCTGCCATTGGAGTGTCTAGGGAGTAGAGAGTGACAATTGAGGTCAGCAGTCTGCAACAATCACATGTGGCCTGTGGAGCACTGTGGTAGATCGTCCTGTGGAGGTAACCCGGCAGGTAGGCAGATGTCTTGAGTTAAGACATACAGCAGTGGTCTCTGGACCTGAACTGATCTCCAAGCTACCATTTGGCTATGTCCATCTGCCCCTGCCAGGTCTGATTAGACCAGGGACCTTGATCGTGAAGCTGGACCAGAAACACCAGAGATCAGAAGTGAATGAGGTTGGCGGCAGTGCACTACAGGGATGGGATATGGAGGGGGTGTGGGCTCGCCTGGAATCCTGCACAAGTTCTCTGCTTCTAGATTCCTACAGTAGAGCAGGAGGCCGCCACTGTGCAGCACGGGATGGTTGCTAGAGCAGGTTGCTCCAAGAAAGCCATCCTTACAACCTGGAGCACAAACAAATGTGGCTCCTTCACCCTGGTCCCCAGCAGCTCAACACCCCCAGGTTCATCAGGTGAAGGACAGCTGAGGACTTAGAAGTGAACACTGGAATTGCTGCATGCCGGCAGGGCCAGGCTCAGCAGTGTGACACCAAGCCATCTGGGCCCAAGTTCTGCCATTCTACACCTTAGAAAAGAAGAAAAGTCAAGCTGTCAGAGCAGAGAAGGGCACAACCAGGATCTGGATGGGACCAGCCTACTTGGCTCATTCTGGTGGTGGTGGCTGCCTAGCCATTGGAACTTTCTATCCAAAATTGAGTGTGCTGTGACTGTGTGGAAGACCTCACTGAAATTCATTATGAAAAATCATGGTCTGTTTCTGGGGCCCTGACTGTGGGGTTGGAGGTGTGGCATGGGCCTGCGCATCTCCTTGGAAAGCCACAAAACCAATGGGCGAGACCTGACATGAGCATGGGATGGTGAGGGCTGTCCCCTTGCCTGGGGCTGATGGCTCAGAGCTCTCACAGCGAGACTAGTGCCAGGGGATGACTGTGGAGACTCTGACCCCTCGTATCTTGAGGTCTGTGCAGATCTATCCTGTACTGTGTGGGAGGAGCTGTGATGTTGCACATGGCCTGAGGCCCTGCCTGTGAGGAAACTGCCCTTGGGATGTGAACTTAGATTTAAGCCTCAAAGTCCACAATAAAATCTCTTCCTGCTGGTCCCCGAGTGATCCTGAACAGGTCATTCAGTATTCCTGTTCTTGCTCACTCACCTGTTACACACAGTCCTAACAACTTCTGCTCTGGGATTTCATGACTGTTGACAAGTTGTGGTGAGAAGTGTTTGTTCTGGAGCACAGCGTGTCTGAGAGTTGTTCTTCTTGTCCCTGTTCTGGTTTTGCCCTTTCAGACAATGCATTCATCTTCTACTTCTAGTTTAACTAATTTCTCCAGAATCGGGTGACTTAGCCAAGTGGTTTGGGATGTTCTTACAGTCACAGTTAAGCTGTCACAGGCTTTGGTCACCTGGAGATGTGGCTGGAGCTAAGGCTCCCTACACAGCACGAGGTCCAGTTCCTATCACAAGAGCGAGACCTTCTGTGTACATGTCCTTAGGGCCTGGTAGCTGGCCATCCTGCTAACAGTCCAGCCTCAGAAAGCCATCGTGTGCATGTGTGTGGTGGTAGTGTGTGATGTGTGTGAGATGCACATAGACATGATGTTAGCTCCTCAGCTTTCCGGAGGACCCTCTCTCTGATCCAGGCACAGGGCAGCTCCTCCCCAGGGCCCTGAATGAGGACTGTGCTTTCCAGGCCACAGCCTATGCCGAGTCCCTGCATCCACTGACCATGAGCCCTGTGCTTGCAGGACAGCTGTTCTCAGTGAAGGACCGTGCGGCCGCCCCTGAGCAGCGACCATGGGCCTGCTTGCCTATCTGAAGACCCAGTTCGTGGTGCACCTGCTCATTGGCTTCGTCTTTGTGGTGAGTGGGTTGGTTATCAACTTCACCCAGCTGTGCACACTGGCCCTCTGGCCCATCAGCAAGCAGCTATACCGCCGCATCAACTGCCGCCTGGCCTACTCGCTCTGGAGCCGTAAGTGTCTCCACCCACAAGCATTGTGCAAAGGTTCTTCTCCAGTGGGAAAGGGAAATGTCTCCTGTCAGGGTTCTCAAGGGTCAGGAAGGACAGGGCCACACCTGACTCTCCATCCCAGAATAGAGCTAGGTGAAGTTCAATCCTCCCTGAGGTCACACCCTCCCAGGAGCCCCGTGAACAGGTGTCCAGAGTAGCCTTACTAGTCTCAGCCACACGATATTTCCATAGCAGGCCATGTGACTTGTCAAGTACATGGTATTTCCATAGCAGGCTGTGTCACTAGACTTTCAGAGGGTACATCATAGCCCTCTGGGTGCTTGCAAACCAGCAAAAGCAATGAGAAAATAGGTTAGGTGAGCTGAGAGCCTCCAGCACATTGTCGCATGGCCCTCTGCCTGCTCACATCACAGTGCACAGGAAAAAGCAAGACTGCCCTTAGTTGAGAGCGTGTGCATGTTGCCACACACTGTCTGTCAGAATGCGCTAGTGCATGAGAGCGCATTTCTATGAGAAACCTGGAGAGACAGCCACTTACTCACACCCTGTACACTGGCAATGGCACTGACCTGGGTGTGGCTACCTGCAGTTTACACGGTGCCAATTTGACTCAGTTGCTCTGCAGAGTAAGAATACAGCTTTGAGAGTTCTGTAGCTGTGCACTCCTCACAAGGCATCCCTGTCTTGTCTTGTTCATATGGGCCCAAAGCTAACCAGGTTGTCTTGTCAAGGCTAGTGCTGACCATATCTCTCCACAGGGGGCCACACAGACACTGAGAAAATGAGGGATCTTTCTGTACCAGAGAACCTTCTTCCAAAGGCATTTCTAAGCTTAAAAAAAATGAGATACACAAAAAAGTATTCAGTATGCTACTGTTTATGCCTGGCTGTCACAGCAGGGACAGAGGTGGGAAGGGATGGCAGTGCCCGGAGTGGGTATAGGATGGCGCCTACTGTGTGTCCCGGCCACAGCAGAGGGCATGTGCCACCTCACAGGGAAGTGTGTCTTCAGGCTCTGCACAACACTCTGCCCGAGTCCCTCCTCAGTTTGACTCAAAAGGTGACAGCTGTTTCACAAACTAGAAATCCCACGTTACAGCATAATGCTGTTGTGCTTGTGTGACCGGGTGACAAGACCACACAAATGCCTACAGAGAAACACTAAATTATAGCCCCTCACATCTAGTAGCACTCCAAAGCCAGAACAGCACATACACCAAATCCTTCAAGACACGGAAACAAATGTCCTCTCGGTAAACATGGGGCGCATACTAGAAAGTCAGATGTATCCCCTCTGAGACCCCCTGACTCTCTCGGTGCTGGTGCCTCAGAGCTTCAGTCTGTGTTGTGACTGGGTAGTACCCTGTGCTGGGCTGGAGGGTGATGACTGTCACCACCTTCTAGCGGCAGAGCCGCTGCTGTGTGTGTTCTTGTGTGGACACGTGTGGCTCTCAGGCACACGCATGAGATGCCCATCTGGCCATGTGCTGATGTGTTTAGAAAACATTAAGGACCCTACCTCTGCCGTGTTCTAAAGCACCTATGCCATTTGACATCCCTCTGGGACTACATGAGAGTTCCCATGCCCCCGAGGCCTCACCCTGCTTGTGGGCTCCATGTTTGAGGCAGGCAGTGTTTGTTGGCTCCATCCCCAGTGAACAGTTCTTTGCAGAGGACTCTGGGATTCTTTCATAGAGCAGTGGCCAGAGTCAGAAGTATGGATCTTCCTGTGACCATCTTTTGGGTGGCAGTTATATCTTGGTCCACGCTCAGACGCCTGGTCCCCATGGGTGTGATTCCCACTGGAGACCATGGGGTGCATGAGGGATGCCTGCCTGCCATTTTGTACTTCCCACCAGAACTCATGTTCTTATGTCCAGATTCTTTCCTGAACAAACACATGCAAAGTTATTACCATGGAATCATCTGGCCCTGACCTTATGCAAGTGAACATGAACTTCCCTTAAATCTTCCAGAGGGGACAGGTGACATACCACAATCCTGGTCCATCCTGAATCTGCCACTGGCCTATGAGTTGCAGGCAGGGGAGGCTCAGTTCTGTGTTCTGGTGACCTTCGTCGTTCTTGTGGAGATGCTGGGTCAGCTATTGAGTACACTCCACACTCCTGGCCATGTACCCTTTAGTGCCTTTGGGGGTCCTACAGCCTCCTGGGCAGCAGTAGATCTCATTTGAGCTTTTCCTTAGACCTGGGGTGGGCAAGACTGAATATGGACCACAGCTTACACCAGAGAAAGTTGTAGGCAAAAGAGTCACCATGTCCACCCTATCATCACTTTCCAACTGCTAAGTCCACGGCCCTGCAGGTGTTCTCCTTGCCTGTCGGTGAGGACACAGCCTCCTTCCGCACAAGTAAACTAGTGCCATGTGACATGTGATGGTTCATCATGCCCATCAAAGTGCCACGGTGGCTGTGCACCGAGGCAGTGGGGTCCGTTTAGGTCTGCCAGGCCCTGTTTCCTTCATCTGCCACACCCAGCTCCTGTTAGACTACACAGCTGTGATTTGGGGAAGCTTTAGAAACAGGAGCCCTCAGAGCTCAGCCCTAGGAGGAAGCTCCCCTGCAGATGAAAATGGAAGTGGCTCTAAGACTGCGCTCCCAGAGCCTGCGGAGACCTAAGAGGGGGGCGCTGGGCAGGCGTCTTGCAGTGCTGACCCCGCCCTCCCGCAGAGCTGGTCATGCTCCTGGAGTGGTGGTCCTGCACGGAGTGCACTCTCTTCACCGACCAGGCCACCGTGGACCGCTTTGGGAAGGAGCACGCAGTTGTCATCCTTAACCACAACTTCGAGATCGACTTCCTCTGTGGGTGGACCATGTGCGAGCGGTTTGGCGTGCTGGGGGTAAGCGATGGGGTCAGGGAAGGGCTGGGTGAGCAATGGAGTCTGGGGGTGACTCCCAGGGGGTTCAGGGAGGGTCTGGATGAGTAATAGTGAAATAGGGCCCTAGGAGGAAACCTCTGGGATCTGAAGGTCCCAAGACTATAGAGGCTTGTCCCTTGGAAGTTTCTTGACTTGCCCCCTTAATAGTGAGATAGAGGTGTGTGTCTTCCCTATGTGGCACCCTCTTCAGTTTCCTGACTATTCTTGGGACTAGCTGTGACTTCATTTCTTGTCAGCACCTTTTACCGTCCAGAGGATTCCACTCAAGACCAAATAAATAATTGCAGTTAACTGAGTGGCATCCGATGAATTTAAACGACACGAAGAGGGCCAGGGATTTCAGTGCAGCCAAAGCCCCTAAACCCATGGCAGAAAAATGGAGGTCAGAAAGGGACCTGGAACTGAGGTGTTATCCTCCATGTCCGGGTGCACCTGCCCTCTTCCCAAAATTTGACTCTTGAACAGTTTCTGAGGTCCCCCTCCCCGAGTGTGCTTGAGGTGTGCTAATCCATAAGCCAAGGTTCCATTTATAGCAAGTGCTTTGAACCAGGAAAAGCAAAGCCTGAACCTCTGGGGTGGCTGTCAGGGCTTCCGGCCAGGCCCTCCCCACCTCTGACAGATGCCACTGGCCTCCCTGCACCCTGCAGAGCTCCAAGGTGCTGGCTAAGAGGGAGCTGCTTTGCGTGCCTCTCATCGGCTGGACGTGGTACTTTCTGGAGATCGTATTCTGCAAAAGGAAGTGGGAGGAAGACCGGGACATTGTCAAAGAGGGGCTGAAGCGTTTGGCAGACTACCCAGAATGCATGTGGGTGAGTGTGCTGCATGTACCATGAGATGGCAGTGGCCAAGCGGAGGCAACTCAGTCCTCCTGTGTGTATGCCATGGCCCAAGTCATACATTGTAGGATATCTGGCTGGGGAAATGGCTCATTTGGTAAAGTGTTTGCCACACAAGAATAAGAAACTGAGTTTGAGCCCCAGCACCCAAATAGAAAAGCCAAGCTGTGGTGCGCATGTGAATAATCCCAGGACTGGGGAGGTGGATCAAGTGACTCTCTGAGACTCACTGGCCAGCCGGTCTAATAGATGGACCTTTGGCCTACACACACGTCTGTGCATACATGTGCCCACAAGACCATCCCGACTGGCCTTTCAGACTTGGCGTCTTCCCTGGGACATAGTTTCATCTGTCCCCTCTGCTGCAAGCCCAGCTTTGGCACACACCCTCCTAGGGTGCAGGGAGGTGGGAGAGCCATAATAAATCTCATCTTCTTTCTTGTCTGCTCTTGGAAACCTAGCCTCTTAGTTCACATTTCTCGGGGACAACAGATGCTCTGTCTTCTGATCAAAGGCTGCTGCTCAGAGACACCTTCAGGTTTCTCTTCTTCTGGAGAGATCTTTCAGGAAAACCGTTCTGTATGCATTCATTTGTGTAACTGGAGTGCAGATTGCAGCCCTAGAATAAAATGCCACTTCAATGACACCACATGCTTGTCGCTGGATGATTCCGTGCTTCAGTTTCTCTGTACACCCAGCAGCCCGTGCTATGCTGCTGTAGCATGTGAGACCCAGAATGTTAGGGGCCTTGCCTGGCAGGGCTCTGGTTCCGTCCATGCTGGCCTGGAATAACCCTCTTGCCTCTCCCTACCCTACGCTCATTCTGTACCTAGTTTCTCCTCTACTGCGAAGGAACACGCTTCACAGAGACCAAGCACCGCATCAGCATGGAGGTGGCTGCCTCCAAGGGGCTGCCCCCACTCAAGTACCATCTGTTGCCCCGGACCAAGGGTTTTACCACTGCAGTCCAGTGCCTCCGGGGGACAGGTAGGAGACCGGGACCCATGGTGAGACACTGGAGTTCGCCACTACCTTCTAGGCTACTGTTATGCAGCAAGAAGTTAAATGGAGCCGGGAATGTTGCTCAGTTGATAGAAGGCTTGCCTAGAATACCTGAGGTCCTGTGTCCTTGAACCCCATAAACCAGGATATTGTGGCACAGGCCTGTACTCAGGAGATGAAATCAGGGTTGGAAGATCATTTTCGACTGTATAAATTCGAGGTCATCCTCAGCAACATAGTTTGAGGCCAGCCTGGGCTATGTAAGCCTTTGTCTTAAAAAGAGAAGAAAAGAAAAGCTTTGAAAAGTATATAAACTATAAAGTGTAAGATATACTCAAAGCCTAGGGGAGGATGAGGAAGTAGGACTGACATGTTTTCAGATCTCACAACTCTTTGTGGATGATAAAATGCTGTTTAGTCAAAAACTGTCAAAGTAACACAGTGTAAATAATGCAAGCCATGAAAAGGAAAAGTCAGATCAGAGATGTCTGGATCACCTGGGAGGAGTTAGGGAAGCCACAGAAAGGGCCCAAGAGCACTGGGTATACAGGAACCATCCGCAGAGAGGGTCTGAGCACTCCACAGCCAGCCGGGAGGGAAGATCGTCGCATGCATGTCGAGGGGCAGACCCAGTGTGTAAAAGTGGCTTTTCTGCTTGGTGGTGATGTCACTACTGTAGAGTGTCTCCCGTCATCCATCTCTCACTGGTCTTGTCTCCTCCCCACAGCTGGAGCCATCTACGATGTGACCCTGAACTTCAGGAATAGTAAGAACCCGTCCCTGCTGGGAATCCTCTATGGGAAGAAATATGAGGCGGACATGTGTGTGAGGTGAGCGCCCATCCCAGAGCTCTCAGGGTCTGATGTGGCTGACCCTCTGCAGTACTCCTCAGGATGTGTCCCCAGCTGTGTTCCCCTGGCCAGTGTGAGGGTCGTTTCTTGTCTGTCTCTCAGTCTCAGTGGACACCCGTGTATGTCTCTGAGGAAAGTTCTGTCCCAAATCCTGCCACTGTCAGCTGCTCTCCCCTGGGCAGCAGTCACGCAGTATGGTGAACTAATGCTGACCTCTGGTCTCTCGCTTTCAGCCAGTGACATGGGTCCTCCTGCGTAGTCCCCTGTAGAGTGGGACTGCCACCAGGTGGCTCTGATCTGGCTTGGTAACTTCTAGATAGTGACTTGGGCATCACCAGGAAGTTCTAATTGGGGAAGGCCCTGCCTGCTCTGCAGAGCCCAGGTGATGGTGCCTGCAGGAACTGCTTGGTCATCTTCTTAGACACGGACACTGTCAGGACACATTGGAACTGCCTGAGGCACTCTGAGACCTCATACAATGGCAGCCTGCCTTAGACAGGGTGGGTGGAGTCATGTCTCAGTGTTGACTGGGGCCATGCCCAAGGTGATGTTCTCTGTGTCTCCTGAGGAAATAATCCACTCAAAATCGCTTCCATTTGACACCTGCGCTTGGTTTTTCTAAGTGGACTGAGCTCATGTTGATTACAAATTACACTGTGTGGGAGCTTCCAGAAGAAGGCTGTGAACATAAGCAGAAAGCTTGTTGCTTTTTCCTCCTGGGCTTTGACCTGAGGTTCAGGACCCTGTATCCTGTCCTAAGACCTTGCCCTGGGTTGGAGTCAGCAAGTGAGCCTAACCTTCATGTTGTTCATCTTCCAGCAAAGGGGACCTGGGGTAGTTAAGCCAGGGACAGAAGTGTGACTGACCTCTGAGGGGCTCACTTCTGGACATGACCAGATTCTCAGTCATTGTCATCTACCCTAGCAGTATGGTTTTGGTCTCTGCTATTGACCACTATTGACCCCAAGGGACTGTGGTGATTAACTTTGAGCCTTAGGTGGCTTCCAATGCCACATGTGTTAGTTAGCTTCCTATCACGGTAACAAACACCTGAGACAATCAACTTAGAAAGAAGAAACTTAGTTTCAGTCTATGGTTGAGTCTCTGTTGCTTTGGTCCAGTGTGGGGTCAGCACATAAAATGGCAGGAACACAACCTGCGACTGATTATAGCAATCACCTCATCAGCCAGTTGGTAAAAGAGGAAGGACCAAGGTGCTGACCCCTCCAGGGATGGCCATGACCTAGGACCTCCCACTATGCTGACCCGTCCAGAGACAGCATGATTAAGGGCCTTCCGCTATGCTGACCCCTCCAGGGATGACCATGACCCAGGGCCTCCCACTTGGCCCCACTTTTTTAAAGTAGGGTCTGCTAATTCATAGTCTTCAAGAGACAGCAGAGACCAAAACCATAGCACTAGGGTAGATGACAATGATTGAGAATCTGGTCATGTCCAGAAGTGAGTCCCTCAGAGGACAGTCACACTTCTGTCCTTGGCTTAACTGCCCCAGGTCCCACTCATCCAGCCCCTCTTGCTCTCAGCCTACCATCAATCTGAAGTGCCCCCTCAGGGACATCGAGCTGTGACTAGGAGACCTGCTCCGTCTCTGATACTTCCTCTGCGATATTTCTGTAGATATGACCCGCTATAGTCCAGTGGGCCTCTCAAGTGCTTGCAGAGGCCTTGACTGCTCTGCTCTTGACCATGGACTTTGCACAAATATGCCCTTCCCATCATCCAGAATGCCCCTGCAGTCATAGCTAAGGGCCTTCCCTCAGCCTCCCTTGAGAGGGATAGCACTCTAGAAGCTGTGACAGGGCGAGCCTGCATGTGTGTACCCTCAAGGGACCTCTGTTCTCTTTGCTGGCATGCCAGCGTTAGCCTTGGGATGGTGGAGTACTTCCATGGAAATTCAGGGTAACTAGAGCTCAAGCTGTAGCTGCCAAGAGAGGGAAGCCAGGAGGGCCTCATCTACATGTCTCTTGTCAGTGTTTGCTTTTATTTTTACTTCTTTCATAATGTATATGGTAGTGTGAATGTATATGTGGCCACACACACATACACACACACACACACCAGGGAGAGCCATGAAGTAGGTCTGAGCCTTATAGTCTTCTTGCTGTAGAAAGTGCCCCCACAGCTACACCCCCTGACTGACAAATCCTCCCCACACGTGGATGGAGCCCTTGGAAGGCAGAACTATTTTGTCCCCTGTTGCCTCTCCCCCTGATGTGGCTCTGAGCCTGCAGTGGTACTCTGGAGCCATGTGGTGTGTGGCCCTGTGCTCCGCCCACTGCTGGGTGTGTGTGCTGAGGCGGAAAGGTCCCTACACAGCCTACACAGCCACAACCCCTCGGGGCCTCACTTTAAATGCACAGATCTATCTCAGGCTGTGGGCATTTCACCGTGGGCCACTGTGAGGGCCACCCAAGCCAGAGCCATGCTCATCACAGCCCTTCCCCTACTCATAGTTCCCTTTACATCCAGGCAAATGAAGTCTGAAAACGTCAAACAGATGAAACTGTGGCCTCACTCGACCCTCTGGATGGAAAACACCTGTCTCATGTACCCACCTTGTGTCTATACCTCCCCCCATTCTTCCAGCAGTTTTCTTGGTGACTGCACAGACTCACAGTGTTTGTTTAGGTGTCCCCATGTGACTTCATAATCACTTCAACGTACAAGAGTAGTGAAGCAAAGGGAGCTTTAGGGTGTGAAGCATGTGGCACACCAGAAAACACAGCATGCAGAGGGTGCAGAATGCCTAGGAGTTCCCATGTCACCTGGGGACATGGGATGTGTCCCCATGAGGTCACTGATCACTCTAGTCCTGTGTGCTCTCTGCCACCTCCTGGGCATTGTGAAGTACTGCAGTTCCCTGTGGAAAGCAGGACCTCTCTGTGAGGCAGACCTGGTGCACCTGATTCCCTTGCTCCACATCCCAAGTTCTGGCATTACAGGAATATGCCAATGGGTCTAGTTTCCTTCCTCCCTCCCTCCCTCCCTCCCTCCCTCCCTTCCCTCCCTTCTTTCCTCCTTCTTTCTTTCTTCTCTTCCTTTCTTTTTTTTTTAAAATATTTTTTATGGTTTATTTAACTTTTATTTTATGTGCATTGGTGTGAAGGTGTCAGATCCCCTGGAACTGGATTTTCAGACAGTTGTGAGCTGCCATGTGGGTGCTGGGAATTGAACCCGGGTCCACTGGAAGAGCAGTCAGTGCTCTTAACTGCTAAGCCATCTCTCCAGCCCCTTCTCTTCCTTTCTTCCAATAATAGTTATGTTTTGAGATGGGGTCTCACTATGTAGCCTTGGCTAGCCTAGAACTTGACATGTAGACCAGGCTGGCCAGGAACCTGTCTCTGGTTCCCAAGTGCTAGGATTAAAGGTGTGGGCCACCACACCCAGCTCTGGGTCTTGCCTTTTGTTTTTTGAGACAGAGTTTCTCTGTGCAGCCCTGGCTACCCTAGAACTTGCTGTGCAGACCAGGCTCCCGAGTGCTGGAATTAAAAGCATGAGCCACAACAGCCCAGCTTGGGCCTAACTTTTTAAAGAAGCTTATGACACAGACACTTATTCTTAGGTGACAGAGTCCTAGCTGACTGTCCCCACAAGTGGCTCATCATCACTCTCTCAGCCTGTGATTTCAAGTCAAGCACAGTAGTTGAGGTGCTCCTCTGGGGAGCAATGATGCTCATTGCCATCAGATGCTTCTAGAAGGTAAGGGTATGTGCTTTCCATATGTGGCAGAATTTCATCTCCCAGACATGCCCTGTGAGCTGCGGGGCATGGGCACAGCATTTCTATCTCTTCCGGGTCTCCAGTGGAAAAGTGATGGAAAGGTCTCCATACACTTCTCAGTGTAGTTCACACTCTCCGTTTATTCACAGTCTGATTGGTTTGCATAGCAGGGGCTGAGCCACATGACTGGGAAAGGCTTCACCTGTAGTTGCTAGGCAGCCACCTGTTTGTTTACCAACAGACTCCCAGGATAGGGGTTCAGACAGCTCAGGGTCCACATGGAAACATTTACTGTAAGCTGAGATTAAAATTTCCCAATGTTGAATACTTTTCCTACCTGGGATATGTAGTTTTGTTTTGAAGCAGTGATCCACGTGTCTAACAAAATGTTATTTGATGTGGGGAATCTTTGTCAGCCAATTATCTTTAAAAGGTGGGACCAAGATAGGGCGTGACTTTCTGGGTACTCGGAGAAAACACTGCCCAGGTGCTCTCTGTCTCTGTGGTTCCTGCTCTACACAGCTGAGCTTAGACTTCTCATTCCTGTTTCATGAGTTTGCCCCTAATAATAAAGAAAAATATAATTGTTCTGTTTTTTAGCTAGCCTGATTATTTCTCGAGCCGAGATAATTTAAAAATTATTGACACAGAAACTGCCAGCATCTCAAAGGGAATGAATAAGAGGCGATTTGCTTTAGAGTCAGGTATGGAGTGACCATGACCCCAAACCACACATTGAAGTCTCCTCCAAATGCCATTTCCCACTATGGAAGTAGTTATGTGATATTATTATTAGTTACAGAACAGAGAAAGCTGGGAAGTATTTATCACGTGCATGGTAGGAGCCACAGGTAGAGCAAGGGACTACTACAGGTCTTGGAGGCTAGCTCATGGTATCTTAGCCTTTGGGTTAGTAGGAGCTGGTGATCTGCTTAGAATATATTGTTAGCTTTTGATAGTCTCCAGGATGTTAGATCAGACACAGGGTAGGCAGTGGATGACTTTGTAAGAGTCTGAAAATAATTTAAGATAATTTGGCTGTAGTCTGCAACATTTGAACTCTCCATAGTCTTGAAGTTTGTTTAATTGGCCTTGTAGAGTCTTTAATCTAGGAACAGTGTCTGTCCCTGTCTATCTCTCCCCAGCTGACTTCTACTTGTCTCTCTCCCTCCCTCCTCCTCTGTTCCTTCCTCTCTCCCTGGTCCCTCGCTCCTTTTTGGGCACTTCAACTCACCTTGTGTTGGTCACTTCTGCATAAACAGCCTGAGGGATGTGTTTTAGTTCCTGGTGTCAGAGTTCAGTCCACGGTCATCTGGCTCCATTATTGTGGGGTTAAGGTGAGATTCAGATATCACGGGTGGGGAACATTTGTGCAGAACCAAGCTGCTTACCTCATGGTGGTCAGGAAACAGAGAGAATGACAGGAGGGGGCCAGTATATACCCTTTAAAGGCACACCCCAGCCAGGCCCCACCTTGCACAGTTACAGGGCCTCCCAAAAGTTTATTCAAAATTAAATCCATCAGTGGATTCAACAAGTGGTCAGAGGCCTCTCTGGAAACCCCTCATAGACTTGCCCAGAGTGTGCTTTCGTCATCCCCCAGTCTCCCTCAGCCCAGTGAGGGTGGCAGTCAAGGTCAAAGGCCCCAGACCTTGTCCCAATTATCTCCAACGGTGACCGTGTTAGGAAAGACCAAGGCCACTGCGATCACCCTATGGGGAAGTCGAGGCATGCTTTGCCAGGCAGGTGGCTCACAAGTGTCCCCAGATGTAGAGGCATCTTTTAGCCCTTGTGGGAGCCCAGAAGGTTCCAGTGTGTCAGCTGACCATCAAGACTTATTTTGCTATCTGCTGGTTTCAGTCATTCCCTCCCAACCACGGGCAGATGTTTTCCATTCTCTCACGTTGCTCTTGATCTTCTTGACACGACAGGAGGTTCCCCCTGGAAGACATCCCCACAGATGAGAACGACGCAGCCCAGTGGCTTCACAAGCTGTACCAGGAGAAGGTAAAGGCTCCTGCTTGCCCATCTCCTACCTCCAAAGCACGCGGGGTGGTAAGGAGGATAGGCAGGTGCCGCATGCTTCTCTGTTGGTGGGGAGAGGGCTACTCGTTCATTTCCCGCCATTTTCCAGATGCCCAAAATAATCACACAGAAATCTGTATTAATTGCAATACTGTTTGGCCAATACCTTAAGCGTATTTCTGGCTAACTCTTATATCTTAAATTAACCCATTTCTATTAATCTGTGTATTGTCATGTGACTGTGGCTTACACAGTGGCTACATGACTTCTTCTGACTCCATCTTCTTTCTCCTGGCATTCAGCTTAGTACTCCTGCCTAGCTTTATTCTGTTAAGTCATTGGCCGAAAGCAGCTCTTTATTAACCAATGGTAATAAAGCATATTCACAGTGTGCAGAGATGAATCCCACATCAACAAGCACTGGTGGTTCTCACCTACATTAGATTCTTCTCTTTTTCTTAAAATTTGAGAAGTTAGCCCTCCAGTGAAGAGTGACATCTGGCCCAGTGCTTGGTATGCACAGCTGTGCAGAAGCCTTGCCCAGTGCCCCACATGTGAGACTGTGTTGATGGCGTTTTACCATATTTGTTCCTTTTTTATAAAAAAGAAATTTTATGAGTGTAACAGACATCACCCAGATTTATAATAATGTGCCTATATTGTGGGCAACCCCCAGATTTACAACAGCATATTTATGGCATGGGGCCCATAGCAGGCACCTGGAGGTGCTCCTGAGACCACGTGTCCAGTTCTCACCCCGAAGTGCATGCTTACCCTGTGCTCGCTTCCTGGGACAATGTGTGTCCATTTCAGCATTGTTGGAAATCAGACGACCAGAAAAGCCTGCAGAAAACAGTTGTTACCAGTGCTTCAGGCAGCTAGGGAAGGTTGAACTTGTTCCCACCCACCTCCTCCTTCTTGCTGGAGAGCATTGCCCTGGTGACTGTCTTGGCTCACCCTCAGTTCCAGAAGATGGAGACACTAGAATAGAAAGTGGTATACACAGAGCTCCCTCAGGTTGCCGAGGGAGACCCGTGCACAGCTGGAGGAGGTGACCCCTGAGGCAGACTGTTCAGAGTTTGCACAGATGGGACCCAGGTGAAGGCCAGCTGCAAGCTACCACACGACAAAATGTCCAAGGCTGCAAAGCCTTGCCAATGCCTGGCAGGACAATTAAAGTCCTCGAAGGGACTTGAGAAGTAGCAGATACAGACTGAAATGAGCATGTAACGATGAAAATAGAAACAAGAAGGCCTGCAGAAGAATGAACAAAGCAGCAGAAAGGCCTAGGGCAAGTGGAGAACAAAACAGCCTGCTAGCAGAGTGGTGCTGTGGGCCGTGCACTGTGGCACAGCGCTTACTGCATATCAGGTTCCCATGCACACCAAAGGCTTTTCCCAAGAATATTATTAGACGGGCTGGAGAGATGCTTGGAGGTTAAGAGCACTGGCTGCTCTTCCGGAGGACCCAGGTTCAATCTCCAACCCTCACATGGCAGCTCACAACTGTCTGTAACGCCAAGATCTAACACCTTCACACAGACATACATGCAGGCAGACACCAATGCACATTAAATAAAAAATAAAGAAGGAGCCAGGTGTAGAGGAGCACACCTTTGATCCCAGCACTCAAGAGACAGAGGTTTGAGGTTCAAGGCCAGCATTCCAGGACAGCCAAGGTTGGACATGATGAGGCCCTATCTCAAAAAAAAAATTAATAAAGTAGAAAACTCTGGTCAAGACTGATTAAACAAAACGATGGAATTAGTATTAACAAAAATAAAACAAGACACAACGAACAAATGGAATCAAAATCATATGAGGTTGGTTTGACTGGCTTCATGCGCACCTGTTTGGATACCTGGATAACGTATGCCCATCTCCTTTACCACACCTTTGTGGCAGTTGCCCACCAAAGGAGGTGTAAAAGGTTCTTGGCTCACACAGCTCAGACTATGTGCCACAGACTCGTCATCCTGATAAAAGAGTCCTGGGGTTCAGAACATCTGTCTGTCTGTCAAAAGCATCCTTATCCAGCATAGCACTAGATGTCTTCACAGAGCGCTTAGGAAAGAGAAGGAGGTGAAGGAAGTCCAGATTGGAAAGAAGGCTAATCCACCCTGTTCTCAGACAGCACGACTTTCCATTCTACAAGTCAGAACTGCCAAAATGTTAGAACTGGAAAATTCCCTAAAGTTTCAGGGTACAGGCCAGTGTCCAAAAGGCATTTCTACATACCCAAAATGAACTTGCTGAAAGAGAAATCCAAACAAAATCAGAGAAATTCTAAGAGCTAAACCACCATCGGACCCTGAAGTCCTCCTGTGGGGAGCTGTCAGGAGGAAACTCAGTTTGAGTGCCAAAGGCACCTCTAGCCAGCATTACCTCAGTGCTGTTCATGGTAGAAGTCCCCCCATCCTCTGATGGATGAATGAAGAGACTACGATGAAGCTGGATGGTGGTGGTGCATGCCTTTAATCCCAGGGCTCAGGAGGCAGAGACAAGCAGATCTCCTAGTTCAAGGCCAGCCTGGTCTACACAGAACAAGTTCAAGGACAACCAGGTCTACACCGAGAAACCCTGTCTCAAGAAAGAAAAACTAATAACAACAACAAAACAAAGAAAGAAATAAAAAGAAAATAAAATATGATGTGTAATACACAGGGTAACACTGTTCAACCACTACATATCAAATTTGCCATTTGGAACAACATGGGTGAAAATGAAGGAATAGTGCAGAAGTAAAGCCAGCCAGGTACGGGAGGACACAGCCCATGCTCCCTCACCGATGGAAGCCAGTCTCACCAGAGTAGAGGGTAGAAGACTGGGAGGGCGGGACATCCCATAGCTATCTGATATCAACTCTGAATTTCAGAACCTTCAGTGGAGAGGACTCTAGTCATTCTCAACACAATAGATGGCAGATGTGAGGTAGTGACCAACCAGCCTCTGCTCCTTACACATGTGGGTGTGAGTGTGATAGAAACTGTGACCCATAAATATGTACAATCATGTCAGTTAAGTTTTAGATAGATAAATAGACACACACAGAGAGAATAGTACACCTCTCAAGAAATGAATGTAGCTGGTGGCAGTTGATGCCTGCAATTTCGACATCCTAGCCTCTTAGAAGGAGCAGAAGTTCAAGGCCAGTATCAGCTACATGGAGAGTTCCACACCAACCTGGGTTACCAAGGATCCCATGCCAAAGAAGGAAGAAGACAAAGAAAGAAGAGGATAAAGAGGAGGAGGAGAAGGAGGAGGAGGAGGAGGAGGAGGAAAACAATATAGGAATGGTGTGGAGCCAGTAAGATGGCTCAGTGGGTAAAAGTGTTTGCCCTGCAAGATAATGTTCTGAGTTTGGTCCCTGGATGCCCTGGTATGAGAGGTCAGTGTGGACTGTGGCCAGGCCCAGCACCCAAGCAGGTCCATGCTGCTATTCCTTGCCTGGGCTTTGGTAACTGTTGGAGTCTGAACCAGCCAGCCATCTGCCACTTGTGACCACACGCAGCTTTGACTGGCCACTTCCTAGTTAACTCCTGGGTCCAGATGACACGTCCTTTATATTAGTGACTGAAGGTCCTCCAAGAAAGTGGTTCCTGCCCCTCCCTCCTGTACCAGGGTGTTGTCTGCTTTATTCTGTGGCTTGTGTCTTGGCCAAGTGGCTTTTACTGCTGAGTTTTCTCCTGCATCAGGGTCTCATTTGGCAATCTCAACTTCTTATTCTCCCCTTCACTCTCAGGACGCCCTGCAAGAGATGTACAAGCAGAAGGGCACATTCCCAGGAGAGCCAATCAAGCCTGCCCGAAGGCCGTGGACCCTCCTGAACTTCCTGTGCTGGGCCACCATCCTACTGTCCCCCCTCTTCAGCTTCGTCCTGGGTGTCTTTGCCAGTGGATCCCCACTCCTCATCCTGACGTTCTTGGGGTTTGTAGGAGCAGGTAAAGAAGCACAGATATGCCAGCTCCCATGCTGGGGTCACTGCGCCTCCACCCAGAACTGATGGCTTATCATGGGGACCCTGGGAGGCACCTGCATGTTGGGCTGTGGAGGCTGTGCCCTCCTTTCACTCTAGTGTGGCTTCCTGTTCTAAAGTGGCTGCACACTGAGAGGAAGAGGAAGGGATTGAGTGGGTGGGGGATGGCAAGACCAGCGAGGGTGCCCTCGTGAGGCTAGCCTCTAACCTTCTCTCTCTTGTCTTTAAAGCTTCCTTCGGAGTCCGAAGACTGATAGGAGTGACCGAGATAGAAAAAGGCTCCAGCTATGGCAACCAAGAGCTTAAGAAAAAGGAATAATTAATGCTGTGATTGAACACCCATAACCTGACGCGGTATCCAATTAACTCAATTAAAAACAGAACACACGAGAACGAGGGAAAGAGACACTTAGAGACTATTTTTCTTATTAACTGGTGACTAATATTAACAAAACTTGAGCCAAGAGCAAAGAACTCAGCTGCCAGGTGAAGATGGTCAGCCAGCACCCAGGGTCCCATCGGCCCTCTGCGGGGACAGAGGCGGGCTTGGGGAAGGTGGTGGGGCCGTGGGGCTCCCCCAAAACTTTGCCTCCAAGAGGCGGCCTTGGCTGCTCTCCCTTCTTAAACTTAGAACGAGGCTTTTGTTTCTTATTTCTTATTTTGGGAACTTAACCTGGCCCCCACCTTGTGCCCTGCACCCCAGAACACTGGCTCTTCATGGGTGCCGCTGTCCTCAGGGGGGCAGGTCAGCTGGATCCTTGTCCTACAGAGCTCATTTGTCCTGCCCTGCTTAGCACCTCTGCTTCTAGCCAGGGGGAGGAAGTCTTAGAGATAAGCACACACTGAATGTAGATCTGGCCCCTTTGTCCCTGCTCTGCCCAGGGGCTGAAGACCACCCCTCCGTCCTCTGCAACACCATTGGCACTGCCTCTTTGGAGGCTGTGTTTAAGCACCTTATGTCTCTTTTTAAAGTGAACGCCCAAGAACTCTGCAGAATGTGGAATCCCTGAGTTCATACAGCACCTCGTACAGGTCCGTGGCCCCCTCGTCCTCTGTCGCCAGCAGGCTGCAGTCCTGCACAGGGCCGGATGGGAAAGTCACCTGGGCCCCACACCTCTGAGCTGCAGTGTCTGGGGTCTCCAGCCTGTGGGACTCCCCTGGGACACTCTTCAGGAGGTGGTGTCACCATCAGGCCTCCTTGTTCTCAGACACCTTTAGTGCTTGTTAGCATTAGAATTTATTTTTACAAATTGGTCTGTGGCTGGCTCGCAGCTTCTCCCTGCCCTCATCCTCTCCTGCCTCTGCCCAGGCAAGTGTCATGGCTGCCGTCCACACCCACCGTTGCCCAACACCACTTCAGTGACAGAAGCTGTCCTGGCAGACAACAGGGGTCCTCCGTCTGCACTTGGTGCCTTGCCAGGGTCCCTTTGGGCTGGCCCTGGAGGCACATTGTCCTTTTTACTCAGCGCAGGAAGGCCTGCCTGGTTTCTGGGAGACCTAGGTCCTCGGGAAACACCATCATATACTTTTACCTTCTGTCTGGAACCTTCCACAGTCCCTTTTAAAGTCATTTCATGTTTTCTAACAAGGAAAAACCGGGTATTCTTTCTGGCATACTGCAGCCAGAGTTCAGAGTAAAGGCAGAGAAGATTTATAGGGCACGCCGGAAGAAGGAGACCTGGAGAAGCCTGAGAGTAGCCCGGGCCTGACTCCTCATGGCAGCTTGCCCACTTTACAGAAGATGCTCCTGGCCTCTGCAGTCCGTGCACAACAGAGTGGCTGTGGACTGCTCCTCTCGTTCTTGGGCGGTGGCAACAAACGACTGCTTATAAGGATGAAGGATTAAGTCAAGCAAACTGAGACACTGATTCTCTCCCTCCAGGGGAAGGCTTGCCCGCCCTGGCCTCTGCCAGTTCTTGAGCCATCTTGGGCACTCCCGAGGGCCAGCTTCCTTCCTGATGGGGTTTTTCTTCTGCCTTTCTGCCTGCTTGAGGTCTCTGTCCTTCCCCCACCCACCGTCACTCACAAATGCGAAGGAAACAGGCCAGTGGGCCCTGCCATGCATGCACCTGGCCCCGGATAAAGAGAGCTCAGAGCCTTCACCATTTCGCTAATGCCTCTGACTTCCTCAGAAGCCCTGAGCCTTGAGATCAGTCTGTGAATGACCCAAGGAGTCCAGGCTGCAGGCTTTGCCCTCCTAGGCCTCCCCCTGCTTGTTTCCAATACAGTGCTTCTGAGAGCAATACAAACTACACTAGGAATGTGGGTGTGGGAATTTTTGTTTTTGTTTTTTGTTTTTTTGGTTTTGGTGGGGTTGGATTTTGCTTTTCATCTGCTTCAGAAGGATATGGGGAGGAGAGCCTCTTTGATTTTTCTATTAAATTAATAAATCCCAGAATAATGCTCTTCTCTTCTTCCTTCACACCCTGCTTCGCATGCCTGCTACAGGCATGGCTGATGTCATGCCCAGATCCAGATTGAAGGTGCTGCTGTAGCAGCTTGCTAGTCTTCAGGGAACCCATGCTAGAAGCAGTAGGCTCAGGAGCCAGAGGCATTCTGGAACTGGAGTGCTTGGTGGCCTTGGGAGGAAGGGCCTGGACTGCTAGACTGGCTCTACTTCAGGTTCCCCAGCAGAGGGGACCCCACAACGTCAGCTCAGACTGGGATGTGGACTCCTTACCACTCAGGCTCAAGAGTCAGATACATGAGGGCGCCTGCCAGCTCCCTGAGAAACCTTTCCACTGTTCAGGTGGTCTCTCACCCCTGGTCCCTGGCTACACCCATGTACCTCATGTAGGTCTCTCTGAAGCTGTCCTGAGCTACGACTGTGGCTTCCATTCTCCTGACTGCCAGTTGTGTTTCATGGTACCCACCCGGAAAATATCCACACAGAGCATCCAGGGACTTGGCTGCTCCCTCTGAGGGCTTTGTGTTAGCATCCTCATTGGTGGCCGTCCTGCAGGAAGCAGGGACAATAAGCTAGGGAGGCTGAATGGTCAGCATGTGGGCAGTTCAGAGATCAGGGACACTCCTCTTGATGAGACCTTTAACCCAGAGAAAGAAGCCACTTGCTATCTGTGGGTGTTTGGTGACTGCATCCATGAGTCACATTTGTGATGGTGTAAGGCCCGGTCCTTGGAAACTGTCTGATGAGCTCTGAATGTGGGGGTTGCTAGATAACAGACCACAACAATATGACAACTTTCTTGTAGAAATAACGCAGGTGTCTCCACAGATGCCTTGACTTCCCCCCCCCCTTTTTTGTGCACCTTGCCCTGAGAATCTTTTCTGTCTCTGCTCGAGTCCTGTCTTTACGCCATCAGGAAAAGTCAGGGTTAGACCCTGCAGTGAGTTACATTCATATGCAGTGCAAGAGACGTCAGGAGACCATCCACACCCACCAGGACTACTTTGTATCAGGTTCAGGATGGAGAGTAAGTGGCTCTTCCTGCATGTTGCCCTGTCTCTGCCTGAGACCTTCTAGGACAAGCCAAAAATAGCCTTTCTAGCCCTGAGTACTTGCACCTCGGCTGTTTGTTCCTCACACAGACCCCTCCACTAGCTAGATGCATGTAACGCTTAGTGCTAGCCGTTTGGTGTGGCTTCTGGCCCTCTGCAGTGTCATGAGGCTCAGGGTTGGAATGGCGCACCTGAGATGCCTCCTGCCTTCTTTCTATACACATCTTTGGCCTATGGGCCAGCCCCACACCAAAGGCACCTGGGCCTGGGTGAGGGCATCCCTGACCTGCCTTAGGCCTCATCCCAGAGTCTTGCCAAGGGGCTGTCCGTTGGGTGCTGACACTCAGGCCCCAGATCCATGCCTAGAGGGGCCAGGATTTGAAAATGCAAGTTCAGGCTTTGGGTGAGCTACTTGGCTGATAGGGTGGACATATGGATGGGAGTTATTACAGGCATTTGAAATCAGTTGATTCAGGGGAACGGTGGTATTCTTACAAACCACTCCAGAGTAAACCACTGAGAGCAGCCACTGGAGACGGTGGCATCTTCTCTTCACAGACCTGCGAAACTGTGAACTCTGTTCTGACAGGTCACCTGGAGTTTCCTTTTCTCTCTAGCTTTTTGGGTTCTTTCTGTTGCAAAGGTGTTCGGAGAGAGGCGGACTGTGAATGAGGCCCTGAAATGCACTACATTGTATTCTATTAAACTGGAGTTACTTGATTCAATGAAGAGCTGCACTGCTCTGCTTGTATTTATTGTCTCAGAGTAGCAACATTGTGACAATCAAACGGGACTTGCCCTAAGGCCTGCCCCTCCTAGCAGCGTCTGTACCAGCGAGTCCTCTAACTGCAGGACCGGCTCTTTCTGGAGCCACGCAAACCACGGACTTTTCTGATTGCTTGCTGTGAGGGTGGGCGGACATCTGAGCTTCTTTTCCTCTTCCCCATTGCCGTCTCTGACTGTGGGCAATCTCAAAGGGATGCTTTGTCTACAGGGTGCAACTGTGTTATATGGATGTGTCTTTTTGTACACTTCTTTTTACAAGTTTGCTCTTCACAAGCTTTCTGTAGTAAGGACGGAGGTCCATGCTCTAGGAAGATGTCCAGGTCCGGGAACTGACTTAAGCTTCCCAGGCGTGGATCTACTGCCCGGCTGTGTTGACTGCTATGCAAAGCTCTCCTGTCCACAGCATGTGGAAGGTCACCCAGGCAGTGTGGCACTCCTCCTTGGCAGAACTTTCTAGGCAAAATGCAGAGGTATCATACTTGTTTATTACAAACACTGTTGTGAACGAGGGATAAAATGTCCACAATATATGAGAAAGTGACTCTCTGCCTCTTTCTTTCTGGTCTGTGTAGATTTCCAGGAGGGGACAACCTTCACATGCTTCCTGTTCCTTGGGGCCACCCTTCTCCAACCCCTTGTACCCTGGGCAATAGAAAGAGAACTCAGCTGGCCTGTGAAATGCTGAGGGACACAAGGCCCCACATTGGGTTTTAAAAGTCATTGAGGCACAGAAGAGATGGCTCAGGGGTTAAGAGCACTGGCTGCTCTTCCAGAGATCTTGATTTCAATTCCCAGCACCCACATGGTGGCTCACAACCATATATAAGGAGATCTGGTGCCCTCTTCTGGTATGTAGGCATACATGCAGGCAAAACATTATATACATAAAAGCCATTGAGAAGGCTACAGAGATGGCTCCGCAGTTAAGAGCTCTTGCCGGTTCTCCAGAGGAGACTCTGGCTTGATGCTCAGAACCCATGTGGCACCCCACAACCATCTAAAACTCCCAGAGAATCCAGTGCCCTCTTTTGGCCTCCTTGGGGACCAAGAGTACATGTGTTACAGAGACATACATGCAGACAAAATATTCATACACATAAAAATAAATCTTTTCTCAAAGTTCAACGCCGCTGAGAAATGAATGGTTTTCAAAGTCAGCAGGCCTATATCCTGAACTACTTTGATAAAAAGCTGCCTTCTTTCTTTGAAGATAACAAAGAGCCACTTCTCCATTAAAAGGGAAATTGGCTGGGTCTGTAGCTCAGCTGGTAAAGTGTAGCTTAGCATTCACGAAACACTGGGTTCCATCCCAGCACCACATAACCAGGCATAGCATTCCACATGGATCATCCTAGCACTCGGGAGGCTGAGGTAGTGGGGTAAAGAGCCCAGTGCCAGCGCAAGCTATGTGAGACCCCATCTCAGAACATCAAAGGCAAAGAAGGGGGCAGGGCAAAGGCCTTGCGAGAACAAACCAAAGGCTGCTCCAGTTCCCTATTGTCTGTCTTCCAAAACCAAACTGCACTGCAGGAACCGTGCTGTCCTGCTTTGTGGGAGCAGCCCGGGACACGTGTCTGTTGCTGCGGGATTTGTCCTTCCAGGGCAGCGACAGTGCAGTGGCACTAGCTCAACCTCCATCCGGAACTCTGGAAAGCCCCACACATGCCCCCAAGCACACATGGATCACCCACACACAAACAGCACACGCAGGAACACAGACACAGGTACACGTGAGTGCACACTTCAGAATGAGAGAATCCGGTCTGCCTTAGAAGAGAACCCTGTTAGGAAGCAGGCTTTGGAAACCATCCTGTATGCTCCTCCTGTCTAGCACCGAGAGCAGCAGCTCGGTGCTAGACAGATGCCCACTGTGACTGCAGGGTCTGTGAGCAGAGCAGCTGGCCCCAGGCAAAGGACCCCAGAGAGGAAGTCCAGATATCCAAGGACATTTCTGAGGTAACCATGATGTTGCTTAGCCTTGACTCTGCTGTGAGACAAGAGCTTTCCTTTGCCTAATGTGTCCCCTGGGTCAGACCATTCGCACACACATGCACACGTGCACATGCTTGCACATGCATGCACATGCACACACACCATTCACACCTGTGTCCAGGGCTGCTTTTCAGCCTTTCCTGGGTCACCATTACTATTAGGCTTCTTTCCAACAGACGTTTTAAAATGGGTCACTTCCTCCTAACAGAGTCCCATATGGCTGTAATTCAGTGGTCAGTTCCACCTGTCCACTAGGCTAGCTCAAGCCAGTGGTTGTCCTCTACCATATACAAACGGGATTGTGTCCTGCTAGGCTCCCATTGCTAGAGTCCAGCTGGAAGACAGGGTCAGGTCCTCCGTGTGTGGCCCAGAGCACACAACCAGTGCAGCAGAGGCAAGGAGGGGGTGGGGGAGAGGCACTGTGGAAGGCACCTGCTGTGAGAGATCAGGAGGAGCCCCCAGGGGCCCTGCATTTCCAAATTTGCCACCCACATTAGAATGACATCATTGCCCATCTTGAAACCAAAGAGATACATGACTAAACCCATAAACCTACTGGTTTTCCATCCCATGCTTTTCATTGGTATTTGAAATCACCAGCTTTGGGGCTAATGAGATGGCTCGGACAACAAAGGTGCTTGCTGCCAAGCCTGAGGATCTGAGTTCGATCCCCAGGACCCACATGATGAAAGGCGGGGATCAACTGCTCTACATTGTCCTTTGACCTCCAGATATACGCATGTTTATCAGTCAATCGGTCAATGTGGGAAAAAATGTCAAAGTTGGCAGTCACACAGTTGAGCTATATGCCATTACTTTACCAACTTTGTTGTGGGTAATGCCTTCATGTGGGGGCCGGGGGGGAGTTGCTTTTCAGTGATTGTTGAAGCCACTGACCCTTCACTTGGACCCAATAGATGGCAGACAATGGATTACATTGTTGGAGTACAGTAATTACTGTGATGCTACCACATTCTGAGCACGTGTCCCATGGAGAGTCATGCGTTCAGAGCCTTGCCCTCTATTTTCCTGCCCCATCCTCAGACCACCTGCTTCTCTACCCCGTATATCCTTCAAACCCTACCTCAGGGAGTTGGATCTGAGGCCTGAGTTCCCTGTGTTCTTCAGCTTGGTTCCCTCCCAAATAAGTATGCTCTTTTGAAAGA